TTACACCTTGCCATGAGAAGATGTTCGCATACTTAAGTAGGAGCTGACGGAGTTCTTTTCTCTCGTAGTTGGAAATGTGAGTCAGCTGCGCACAAAGGTCATCCAGATTGTTCATGGGAATGGCTGCAGATTCAGAAAGGGCATTGCAGATGTCATCTGCGTCGTCTTTCGGTGGAGAGGTATCTGTGTTGACCTCGGTGGCTTCGTGAGTGGAAAAGGTTCCTTCTGCAAAATTTAGGTCGGCTTTGGTGTAGCGTAGGAAATCGGCACCAAGTATTACGTCCCAGGTCACTTCTGGATACACGATGAATTTTACTGTCCAAGTTTCCTTCCCTATGCAGACTTTTAATGATGTCTCTTCATCGACTAGCATCTCCCTTCCCTCTGCTGAACGCAATTTTGTAGAAGCGGAGAGGATCTTAACCCTGTTACAAAGGGTAGGGAAGGCTTGGAGGTCCACAATTGACTTAGCTGCACCGAAGTCGAGAAGAAAACTACAGGAACGTCCTTTAAGTTTACCAGGAACCCTCATGTAAGATTGGGAGCCATTTGGGAGTTGACAGGAAAGGAAAAAGGAGGGCTCACCTGGTTTAGGAGTATAGCGCGGGGAAGCACGGTACGAGGATGCTGCATTTGACCAGTTTCGTGGTTTACGGAAAGTCGGGAGCCCCCGGAGTTCCTGCCGCTTCTTCGTTGCGAGCTTGACCAATTGGGCGAGCGAGTTAGTCTTCGCTTCGCAGAGCTTCTCAGCCAAGGCGGAAGGTTGGACTCCGTGTTTAAACTGAACCGTAACCCAATTGGCGATCTTGTTTGGGGGGCAGCCGCGGAACGCGCGTTCCGCCAGGAGTTGGAGGTTCCTGGCGTACTCTTCGTCGGTCTCATCAGCTTTTGAAGACGCTGAAAGAAGTCCCTAGCCAGGGTTCCCTCCTCGCGATCGATGACCAGTTGAGCCAATGTATCGCAGCATTGATCAACGTCCGTGTCGTGGGTGATGCCAGCTCCGACTGCGGCCAGGAATGAATCATGCGGGAGGGCGCGAAGGATAAGAGGTATTTTTTGACAACGGGGATAGAGAGGAAGCTTGAATTTGGCAGTTAAGAGCCACTCCTCAAAATTCATATCTTCCTCGAAAGGGGGTAGGTTTGCGCAGTCACTAGGTAAGGGAGAGGACGATCCGGTTGCAAGGTTCGAATTTCCTGATTGCCTCCTCCCTGAAAGGCACATTAAAACAACATAAGTATTACAGTCGCGTGACTGCAGCAGCCGGACTGTGTCTCTACACATACCCACCTCAAATGAGCAGCCATGCGGACTACCGACGCGAGGTGTCGGTCGGTGGCCTGGATTTGAGTGGCCTGTGCTCTCAGCACGCGTCTCGTGGCCGTGACTCAGTCACGCTAGTCGATTAATCGATAGGAACACCTGGCATGCAGTCCTCGCCTATTGGCCATCCACCCACTCACCTACCAATTGATCGATCGATAAAGCCCAGGGCGCAGAGTAGAGCGGATTGAGGTGGCATAGGTAGTACACATAAGAAGGCACAATTCAAAACAAATAAGCCATGGCTTAGGAGAATACTGGCCAATCTAACTAAGTCCCAGTGAGTTTTAAAACCTCCTCCCACTCGTCCACTCCCTATTGACTGCACATACGACCTTCCCCATTCCTTTCATGCTTTTCAGCCTGCCGACAAATGAGGTGATGTAAACGATGACAACGCCTTCGCAGTGCGTTGGGAACTGCATTGTGAACCCCAAGTACATTAGCAACAGTTTTAAAGCGGATTTCAGGACTCACTTCCCCTCCTCCACTTGATTCATCACCACTTCAAGTAGTCGTGGGATTATTTACGCCGTTTTTCTAGGCCAAAACAAAAGGAAATAGCGCATGTCTACAAGTAGGTGCGTCAAAAACAGACCTAGGTGTTTCATTTTACTGCATGACAATTGACCAGGAGAGCACTAACGCAAGTTAGCCAAGTTTTGCCTCCTTCGTCACCGAAAGCACGCACGAAAAAGTCGGCGCGCTCCACAACCACAACCCCATCATCAAGTGAAGGCTAGTCAGCACCAAGACTAAAGGAAAGGAACGGTGGAGAGCACTCCCATCTATTCCTTAAGTCATTCTCAATCCCCCACCCACCCAACTTACGCGACCAACTGTCCACCTAGTAAGAAAAAGATGAAGAGGTCGAATTTGATGCTGAAGGCGATTGTTATCACTATTTCGGGGAGCCTGTGGTGCGGTTACAACTCTCTCTCTCTCTCCCACCATCACAGAAGTCGCAGATTGTCGTACTGAGAGTGGGTTTGGAACATTGGGACGCGTAGCAGTGGTAGTAGTAGCAAGCACTGGCGCCGTGTCGTAGGATATTTGGGGGATTGGTCGGCAATTTTGACATTGAGACCCACATCTCTGCCTATTTCCACGTGCGCCGTGTATTTCCTATATAGATAGATGGATGAATGCATGGATGGATAGATGGATGGATGAACGTATGGATACAGGATGAATGGATGGATGGATATCTTACACAAAGGATGAACAGTGTCGCCATCGCTGCTACTTGATGACGTCCACGTCCTACACTTGAAGCTGTGGGTGTGCCTATCCCACTCACAGCAGACCGATGTCAGTGCGGCGGCGGTAGAGCAGGTAGAGTTGTTTATCAAGCTGCAGACACAATGAACAACAAAACCACTGAGGCACCGACGACGACGACAATTTATGAAAGCCAACCGGAAGGAGGAGATACCGCACCGGTGAATGGGACAAGTGTGTGGGCAGGTTAAAGGAGTCAGACACCACAACTACTTGTTTGTAGCCAAGGTGCGACGGCAACTACAGCACCAGTTGGAAAACAGGCAAATTCATCCCACGATGCAGTAGCCTTATGCCGGGACTTGAGCCCACAGGCCACCAATTGACCTTCCCTTGATCGCTCTTACACGCATGTCATGCCAACCGCGAGGTGCGTAGAGGGGACGAAGCGGTCGCATCAGAATGGCGGCCACAAGGTGGTAGTAGCAATAATTTCACGCTGAAAAGCCTCATATCATTCATTACCGCAGTAAAGAGCCCAATCTACCCCTAAAATTCACCAAGTTTGTAACAACTTCTACTTCTACTTTAGCTGAAGGGCAATAGGAGAATCGCCCTGCACTCTTAATAGTTTTGCACGAAGCCTAACGTGACCACTAGAGCAGGAAAAACACCCACATACTGCAATGAAGGGGATGGAATGTTGGGCACCAACGACGACGACGACAACAACAGCAATTAAGTCTTAGTTGATCGCGGAGAGTGGAGGAGAGACGCTTCGCTCGCTAAATAGCAAACACAAGCTGAAAGAATTTGTGCATTTGAGTCTTCCTTGTGCGGTGGTTTGAAAAGCAGACCATGGTCTCAAGAATTGGGGCCGCGCAACAAAGACACAGAGACCACCGCTACCATCACGCAAATGGAATACAAGCAAGGCCCTCCTCAGGCCGCAGATGTGGCCATGTCGCTAAGGTGCCCGCTAATCAAATAATAGCCACCGCAGTAAAACCGCACGGTAGAATGGTACGATACCATCATGTCCAGTAAACACTACGACCAAAGGGAGGAGGGAGAGAAACAACCATGAGGATTTGTCCATGACTGTGAGGCTCGTCAAGTAAATAGCAGCCGCAATACATTAGGGACGGACCTCAAAAATGCGCGTTAACATCAATTGTCAAATTAAAGGGGTAGGAGGGAAGGGGGCTCTAACACCACTGTGGCCTCGACCTGGGGACAGCCAATGTCAACAACACTCGCCCACCCCACCGCCTGGCGCAGCCGCAGATCCACGGCGTGGAAAACGCACATGACAGCACTCCAAGTCAATTGATCATACGACCATGGTAAAAATGGGAGGGCAAAGGGAGGGGGGCCGAGTGAACCGACCACTTGTACCTACATGCCAGTGATTCACTTAAATTAAATCAACATGTAATATGCAGGCTGTTGTGTGCGAATAACCACCTCCTGCTTAAAAACGGCTAGTGTTAATGATGTAATCAAAATGAGACAATGCTCACCAGAAACACTCGCCTCAGAGGGAGAGGAGGAGGGAGGTATCGCTTCCGGCACCTCAAGGAGAGTCAGACGGCACTGACGAAGATGGAGCAATTTCAACAAGAACGCTTACACTGTGCAAGATGGTGCAAACATTCCGACGCCACATCTTATGGCGCCATTGAAGCGAAGCAGAGAGAAGAGACAGGGAGGTCGTGCGTCAGACAAGTAGATGGCGAGACGGACAGGTGGGTCGATAAATAACCAGGCAGGTGAGTCCATGAACCTAAAACGAAGCAAATCGCCCAAGCCCTGCCTGCTTATCCACCTAAACCCCTACTAGTCAAATAACCAAACAAACGCGGTGGCAAGGAGAGTGTAAATAAGTAAGTGAAACTTAATGCTTGCCAATGAAGAAGAATGAGAAAGGTATCAAGCCCGTACCACTGTCAGTCAAGGGGACTCGTCAATCAACCCTCAGTCTCACGGCAAAACAAATAACCATTATAATAATAAAGGCAAGGCTAATGACTACTACGACTAAGAGGGAGGAAGGAGGAGTGGTGACCACACAGGGACTACTGCATCACCATATTAGCGGACGTAATCATGTCGAGGCGATTCCTGTGTCATCTCCAAAGTAACCATCATAACACTAAATATCCACAGGAAACCTCATTTATGAGTGTTCCAGAAGCAATCATGGCAAAAAAAACCTCTTTTGATAACGATAAATGCACACGGTCCGATGGTTTACACGAAGAGCACTAAGCAATCCGATTCACACAAAAGAGCGTCCATTGAGTCCTCTCTCCTGCCTCCTTTACCAACAAAACAACGTAAGCGGAGGAAACTGACAGAATTGCCCGACATAAAATAACACCAGGCCTAGAGCGGCACACAAATTCCAAAAGGAGGAAGAAAAAGGCTTTTTCCAAATCCGGGAAAAAAATAAGAAGACGTAAAGCAGCGACAAACTACATAATCACAAGAGCATTTGCCAGAACATGCTATGACGTAGAAGAAGGGGAATGCTTATTTGGAGGTGAGAATCATATTTTATTAAAGACAGTCACGCAGATTTTGACGCAAATTGCTGTACCATACTCCATCAACATCCAATATTCTTCATTCCACCGTAGCGGAAGCCCCACGATCCTTTCAAATAAACACTCCAACAACTAGTCCCATTCGCAATCATCAAAAAAGAGTACGTACAAAAACCCACACTAAAACCTGTTACACTTAACCTTTCCCGATTAGCTAAGACAATAATGCAATGGGCGGACGCACGCCAGTTATCCCTTCCAGCGAAAAACGAAAACAAGCAGCCAGGTCCACTACAAGAATGTATAAGTTCATTCAATCGCATAATTAAATGCAAATGAGCACAAAAAACAAGACGTGCCAGTATTCAATAAGTGCCAGTGCTGGGTGAAAGCACCTAAATAACCAGCCAAGGCAGTAAACTACTGCTGGTTAATAACTGCGCAAACAAGTGGACCACGTAAGAACCAGAAGTAAAAGACGGATCCAACGAAGGTACAGCTGGTCTTAAGTCACCTGCGTGCAATCTTCACTCAAACAATCGCCAGTATCTGCTGCAGACAAAAAAGACTACACCTAACAGCCAGGAGGCATACGTCATCAAAATAAATTACAAAAATACCATAAGTAATGTACCGTACGTGTACATACATCTACAATTACGTACACTTATAATCTGGCGGGTTCCACCCTCCTCTCTTCCATGCATCCACAATATTCATTTGTACTGATGTTAGGTGCTTTATGCCTACGACGCCACGAAGGCAGTAAATACCACCGCGCCACACTTTCCCGAATTTAGCGAAGATTCAACAGCCAACTCTGATCACCAAAATGTACTCCAGCATTGGTACAGTCCCGGCGGTATCCATAGCCTTCGCAGACTAGAAAAGAATGCAGGTGTCATACTGTGTTAGTTGTGTGCATTTGTCTCTATGTTCCGTGGTAGAATTCGGAGTTCCCCTCCACTTGTCCGGCTCATGTACCAACAAATTCAAACCCGAAAAACATCCCCGTACCTGTAAAGAAACTATCTTCATCGTGGTGAAGTTAAGTGATGATCTTACCAATCGAATCAGCGGATTGACACTTAGTTTAACGGTAGCGTAAACCGCACGTTGACATCTCGTTCGTCGCAGAACCTTGACTAACTCCGCTGACGTCTGTTCAAATCGCGACCGTTGAAGCTCCAGAAGACGCGGTTCAGTTCATCTGAGAAGAGCACACCCAAGTACCCGTGAAGAATACTGCAGCTGTTTCCAAGTCCGCTAAACACGACAGCCTACCAAAGTGGGTAATACATAAAACCTGGATAATACGACCGTTACTACGCAAATGTGAAAAGACTTTGAGAACGGTAGTAGCGATCTCTGGCTAAAAGCATGCGGAGTGCAACCATTAAGGCACGAAAGGCATCACAACAACTTAAAAATTGAAACCCATTCTTACCTGAGAAGAATACGGAGTGATAGCCGGGTCCAACCTCAAATATGATATTCTTTAGATGTCTCTCGAAGGCTATTAGATACAACGTAAAAACACAAATCCCCACCTACATAGGGTTCCAGATAGTCATTGGCACCAAGTAAAATCAAAAAACCCACAACTCCCCCTTTTTTGCCAACAACAAGAGCCTCCACAGCCAAAATGTTGGTGATAACACAAAGAGCGAAGACTATCAAAAGCGACAAGCGAAATAAGAGAGGGCAACCAACCAGCTTACAGCAGCCAATTTAAACAAAAGCACTTTCGAAATATTTGCAAACTACTGGTTAAACAAAGTAAAAGGTTATGCGCGAATTATGTCCACTTTATCTCCACGCAAATTAAAAAACTGTCTAATTGCAGGCACCTTACAGGCGAATTTAGATTTGCCGAGTCATTGCTGGCGAATTTGCTCCCCACACATTATTTTTTGAGTGATTTTTCGTGCATTTTGGTAATAATTTCTTCTATTTTTAAAGTGTCTTTAAAGTGTTAACCCTTGGAGTTTCTTGAATTCACACATATTGAAGCCTTTTGCAGTCAGATGAAATTTCTTATGCCCATTTGCCTCTCGCATTATCCGTGCTAGATTTTACCAGATTTATCCCTTCCGCACAGGATTTCATCCATCGAGGTCGTTGACATAATTGCACTCTGTGCCCTATTTTCTGCAATCTTCGTCAATTGCAACTAAAGTATTTATACCATTTGTTGCAAAGTTTTCTTCATTTCATGACGCTTCCATAATTTTATTTCCGGGCACAACCTACCAGACTCAACGACTTATCCTAGAGCGATTAGCACCGATGTGGCTCCGCTGGGGCTACTCGATCTTCCTCCCCACCTGTCAAAGTCTGCATCATAATGTGTCATTAGCGTGATTCTAGCATCTTTATTCTGGTTTACTCCAGTAAATCCCCATTGATATTACAAACCCATTCAAACATATCCTTGCGATTAGCGATTGCGGTCAACGCTTTCTTGGACGCCCCGCATTCGCCAACTCATTGCTGCAGGCTGCAGAACAGGATCGTCTAGGTTTCAAAGTTCCTGAACGCAGTCCGTGAAGAAATCCATTCCACTTTTCTCCTTCCTTTTCTCATCTTCCATAATTATTAACTTCAGTGTATGTTTAGGCGACAAGCTCGACACTATAGCTTGCGGTTAAAGCCTTATTATACTAGCGAACTGCAGAAGCAAGGACAGTTGTAGTGTATAGAAAACGCAGTCATAAAGTGCTCGTGGTCTTGTTCCTTCTCTCAGAATTCTTTCATAGTGATTTCTACCAGGTACGAGACGAAGTAAATCAACATATGTCGCAGCTGTTAAAAAACCCAGATGAATGTATAGGTTTTATAAGACTCAATACTACCGTATTCCCCTCTGGCCAAGTCGGTAGTGTCTAGGAGGCAGTTTACTCCTTCAAATGTACACCAAGAAGCTTCTATAGAGGAAAATTGGTTATCAACTTTCATTTTTTCAATGTACTGCTTAATGGCTTTTCGAAAATTTGTTGAGCACTTCAGTTACGTTGTGCAGACTTATTTGTCAATCCACTTTCCCACTTGTTAGTGCATGAATGCGACGGTCGTATGTGGAGTATCCACTCTCCCAACCTGGCATCGCCGTACAGGCATCGCCGATGTCGACAAAAATGCGGTATTTGCATAGGGTTTGAACTATGTCAGGACTGAGACCTGTAATCTTGGCATTGGATCATTTCACCTTCAAAGTGCGTTAACTTCTTAAGTGAAGATTGGAAAACAAAAAGCAGTGATTGTGAATAATTTAATAAATCTCGAAAAATGTTATTGGAAAAGTGGAATAAGCCCAGTCTACAGACTGCTGTTAAAGGTGAGTTAATAAAATGGGCAATATTTGATGAAATCCAAGTTGACATACCTCTAACTCCATATTACAGACCTTGACAGATGGCGGTAAAGTAGTCTAGTGAGATTGGCAGGAAATTTTGCGAGACCACAATTCCTCTTCGCCATTGCAGGTACCTTTTAAATGTAAATAGGTGAGTGGCCGAAGTTGATATAAGGCATAGATCCACACCTCATTGGATGAAGAGGTGAAATGTTTTTTTTTCATCCTGACGAAATGATGTCCTTTGATTAATCAGCATTCGGTTGCGTGACTCGAGCGCTGCAGTTGTTGCACGATTGCAGACCCGTTGAAAAGGCCGACACTCCAGTAATGATTCCACTAGCTGGACGGAATGTCTGAGAGGTTAACTGAAATGAAGTTATCCACATAATTATTAGAATGTTGCGATGTTTATCAAAGCTAAACTGATCGCGGGGCAAAATTTCTTTGCTACACAACATGGCCTAGTTTTTATAACTATTCGGCAAAATGATATGTGGCATAGGACTTGTTCTTTTAGAGGCTTGGGAAAGAAGTGAGAATCTTTTCAATAATGACGCAGGTCTCCCTTTCCTATTGATAAACGCCATTTGGTGACACTTGACACTTGTAGAGGGAACAAAACAATCCCCTCCATCACGCCCCTCAGACCGATTATAAGGCCACTTGCATATTTGTATTCCTCAACTCTGGGCCACAGGTTGATTCTCTTCTTACCTTTACAAATCGAACTTATTACCTATCACTTGTATTGTATGCATCATAAAGAGTCGCGTGCATTTGACACGTCCTTCTACGTTTCATGCGGTAATTGAAGGTAATTCTGCTGAAAATGGCAAATATATTCTTTGCCCTCCAGTAC